GGATGGGCTGCAAATCAATTTGTGACTGCTTGTGAATGGTGGAATGCTACGTTGTCCCATGCAATAACAAATATTGTCATGTTTCCTCCCACTTGTTCCCTTTCTGCTTCTGGCACCAGTTGTTGATGAAGGTCATCTAAAAACAAAAGAAGGCGCTCTGTGTTGTAGGGACCTATCTGGCTTTTCTGCAGGACCAAACCAGCACTTGAGATTGCAGCGCACATTGTGATATTTGCTCCTCTCTGACAAATTGGAACCAGCTGTTTCCCAAGTAGAACAATAATTCTTATCAGCTCTTTGAGCTGTTGTGGCAAAAGTAGAGGCTTTACATTATATTTAAAGTTTGGATCATTAGGTCTTCAATTCTGTCATGATGTGTTTAAGCATTTGTTAGAGATATTTGAAAGATCCATTATTTTGCTATGGGGTAAGCTTGTGTGAAAAGAAAATGTAAGCATTTTAGAAACATCTGCATTAACTAAATTTTGTGTGAAAACGACATTAATTGTATTAATGGTATGGTCACAACAGACAGATGTTGTGATAATTGTGTTTAGAGTTTTGAAAATGTGAATACAGAATGGACAAATGGATGTTAGCAACTGCAAAAAACTGTAACATGTAGGTGTGTGTGAATAGTATTATTCAGTCTTCATTGTTAAACCTCACCGGTAGAAAACAGATTCTAGATAAACACTTAATCCATCTGCCATTCCTCTACTTTAGTATACATACTGCAGTATGGAGTGTCTCTGGCTAATAGTGCTGGTTACTTGGCAACCTCATTGTGATGACAAGTGTCCTGCAAGTAACTTTTCCCATACAACTCCCCCTAAACTCAAACAAATATTGTTTTTACATTCTAATTTGTGTATGGATTAATCGAATAAATTATATGCTGGTAGGAATGGTTTCAAACTTCTCACTTTATTCAGCAAAAAAAAAAATGTAAGCCTGTTTAAGTAGATTATTTTGTTCAGATTTAATGCATTGAACTGTAGCTATTCATCAGCTGAAAAAATAGTAGCTGCGCAGCTTCAGTCGCTGAAAACTCCGCAGTCTCGTTCTTTAACCTCAGAGGCCTGTGCTTAGATGAAAGTATTTGGCAGTCACGAACCACATCTGCACCACATATGTCTTTCCTTTGAACAAGTTATACAGTTAGGTAGACTACGTAATAGATTATCAAAGCTGAAACCAAAACTTGAAAACATCTTCTGATGGCATGTAGAGCTTGTTCTAATCTAATCTAATGCCAGTGTCCTTAAGGTCAGTTACCACATCTGTAAAAGTAAAAAAATTATTTGTAACATTTTGATGTAAAGAAATTGCCTAATACTTTTTAAAATTGTCTTCCACGAGCAAAGCACTAAATTGTATACTGACGTACTTTATTTTTATTGCCATTTTATACATTGATTTTCTTCTTATCCAAGAGTTTGGCACAACGCTCAAAATCACACACTTTGGTGTACATTGGCCAATTTCTATTACTCTACAGCATTATGTAGATATGAACAAAATGAATAAGAATTTAGAACATGAGACTTAATGATCCTCTGTTCCACATCATCCTGTCTAAAATAATATGTGGTGGTTTCCTAAAGACCCCCACCCACCTTGTTCCGGGGAGGGATGAACTGAGCAAAAGACATGCATGACTGGAAGTGCAGAGATGAGTATCTGAGCTGCTGTAGGAGAGGACACAGCTGGGAGAAGGCATCAGGGGTTACTGCCGACAGCCTGCTCTAGGATTTGTTTATGGCTTCTTCCTTTTTTCCAGCACATGGGACTTGGTGTATGTGAAGTGTTTCCCACTTGCTGCTGCGATTATTGATTGTGTCATCATTAGTAATCTGACAAGTGCAGAGAAATAATTTGGATGGATTAAGTGCAAACTTTCCCGCTGAGCAGCAGCTCTGTCTCTGCAAGCACTTCTGTGGTGGTAAGATATTTCTCAGTTACTTAATAAACCTACATAACCATTTTTCGTCAACACGCTTTGATGTGTAATTATGTCACTTATAAGAATTCATAAGAGAGACTGTCATTAACTAGTCAGTATTTAGTTCAGTGGGCAGTGCATGCCACCAACAATGACCAGGGTTTAGGAATCAATTCTCACTAATGGTTTACTTGTTAAAATAAACTTGTGAGTTCTCGGAAATAAAGCTGGACCCTGTTTTCACAAAGATTCAAAATTCTGAAAGTCAGTGAGGCACAGCATTGTCGTGGTGGTGGCCGCTGCTCTGTGACTATAACTGGTTTTACACAAAGTATTGCCCATATATAGTTTGCGATTACACACAGTAGTTGACTTTTTATAATCCATGCTTTTTACCCTGTTCTCTTTACAGCAAGCCAGTAAAAAAAAAAAAAAAAAAAAACCC